ATTAACACCTAAGGCTTTGGCCTAGATGTGACACATGGCACTTCTGCACACATTTCATTGGCCAAAACAAGTTACGTGTTCCTAATTTCAGGGAAGAAAAGTCCTAACCTTGTGCCCAGGCAGAGAAATGGACATATTTTAGACAGCGTTAAAAGTGGTCACCTCTCCCACGATCAGTTTTGGAAAATACAGCCCAGGATTTGTGTTTGTCTAAGAATATAAACACACAAAGAGAAGTCCATTCAGCTTCTTCCATTATTTTGTGTTTTTAAAACACTGCAGTTGAGTAATGAGTCTACTACAACTACAGGCATAGTGGCCTCTCTTGCTTAAAACTCTATAATGGATTCTTTGGCACTCATTATATAACTCAGACACTTTAATATAGCCTACAAGCCCCACCTTTCCAGCTTCAACTCACTCCACTCACACCACACCTCAGAGGCCTCCGACTGGCCATTCAGTTCCTTGAAGGGAGACATGTGCTGCCTACTTCTGTCTTGAATGTTTTTCTTCCTTTTCTCCTTGTTTTTGCCTCATCACTCTGTAGCTTTAAGATCAAATATTTCTTCCAGGAAGCCCTCTCTGACTCCCAGAGTACATCAAATCCTCTCTGCTCTACACTCTCATAATACCCTCGACTTTGCTTCCAGAGAAGCCATTCCATTTTATAAGTGTATTTTTACACTACTCTTTGTTCAGTCAATTTCTCCAATTAGAGTACAAGCTCCAAGGGGTAAGAATCCAGTCTGTTTTGCTCACCACTGTATGCTATTCCTTGTGTTTAGCCCAGTTACTGGCATATATTAAGAGCTTGTTAAATGTTGAGTTTGGTTATGGTTTTATATTTTAGGTCTGTGACCTTTTGTTTGTTTGTTTGTTTGTTGTTTGTTTTTGAGATGGAGCTTTGCTCTGTCGCCCAGGCTGGAGTGTGGTGGCACAATCTCAGCTCACTGCGACCTCCGCTTCCCGGGTTCACACCATTCCCCTGCCTTAGCCTCTTGAGTAGCTGAGACTACAGGCACCCACCACCACGCCCGGCTAATTTTTTGTATTTTGGTAGAGATAGGGTTTCACTGTGTTAGCCAGGATGGTCTTGATCTCCTGACCTCATGATCCGCCCGCCTCGGCCTCCCAAAATGCTGGGTTTACAAGCGTGAGCCACCGTGCCCGGCCAGGTCTGTGACATTTGTGTAGTCTATAGAGAACATATCTGAGATATTTATACAGTCCATAGAGAATGATTTGGTAAGAAGATGTAAATCACACAAACTGCAAATACATGCTTGTTCTATGCCTCTATGTCTTAGGGAGTCTAAGAGAGTCCAAAGTCAGAATGTTTTTCCTGTTCTCTCTGAATTGAAATATACCCTCACATAGATTTTCACTTTCTTTAGGTGTTTTTCCCTTTCTCATTTTTTGAGTGATGATTTTATGTTTAAAGTGAGAGCCACAGAGTCAGGGGATATATCACATTTAACATAAATGGCAGTAAAACTGCCCAAGCAATGAGTGTATTATATAGGCATAGTTAATAAACAAGCTGTGTGATATTAAGCTATGTTTCTCTCTAGCTTTCTGGAGATAGTACTGAATTCCCAAAACAAAGTGTGATTTGTTTTTTGTGATAGTGTGCATCAGCAAAAGGGCATATATTAGATGCTTGGAAATGCTTTGCTATAGATGTATGTCTTTTCACTATTTGTCTTCATATATAAGTATTGGGGGCAACTTTAGTCGTTTCTGTTTCTCTTTTCAGAAGGAATAACAATTTTTTTTCACTTTCTTACCTATATGTTTCGTTGTGGATTGTCAGTACTGTTCTTCATTTATAATGCAAATGTTCTAATAACCTACAGTCATAACCTTATGGTAGAACTCATACAGACATTGTAATCTCTAAGCCTTTGAAAGTAGTGTTCTTCATTTTTATTCTAGAAGAGAGCTACTGCTTCTCATCAATAAGAGAGTGGGATTAAAAGGAACACGAGTAAGGATTATATTTGCAGAGCCTGTCTATTTATTCAACAGTATTGTTGAATAAAAATGTTTCTTAAGTATCATTTTCCCTCGACATATGTGGGGGATTGGTTCCAGAACCACCCTCCCCCCGCCACTGCATATTCCAAAATTCATGCATACTCAAGTCCCACAGTTGCTTCTAGGACATCAGCCATTCCGGTACTTGGGTTTTGTAGCCTGCAAATACTATATATTTTATCTGTGGTTGGTTCAAAAAAAATTCACATATAAGTGGACCCCCCTGAGTTCAAACTCATGTTGTTCAAGGGTTAGCTGTATCTATTTTGTAGCAGAAGCTAGGGCAACTTAGAATGACCTTTTCTATGAAACTTAATTTTGTTTCAAACAATAATATTCTGATAAGAGCTGAGTTTTACTCTTTTGTTAGCACTGTCAGTTTTCTCAACTATAGTATGGGAATGATAAAATAACCATCTCGGCTGGGCATGGTGGCTCACTCCTCTAACCCCAGCACTTTGGGAGGCTGAGGTGGGCGGATCACCTGAGGTCGGGAGTTTGAGACCAGCCTGACCAACATGAAGAAACCCCGTCGCTACTAGAAATATAAAATAAGCCAGGCATGGTGGCACATGCCTGTAATCCCAGCTTCTCAACAGGAGAATCACGAATCTGGGAGGTGGAGGTTGTGGTGAGCCAAGATCGCGCCATTGCACTCCAGCCTGGGCAACGAGAGCAAAACTCCCATCTGAAAAATAAACAAATGAAACAAAACAAAAAATAAAATAACCATCTCATGGAGTTCTTGTGAGGAGTAAATAAGATAGTACATTTAAAATACTTATCCCAGCACCTGGCATATAACAAACACTTTGTATATTTTAGATTTACTATGAGACTTCGTCCAAAGTTAACCTCTTAGGTATTTGTTTTCCTCTGTTCCTCCCCTCTTGTTTTTCTCTGAATTGTCATCAAAGATAAATTTCTAAAACAAAAATGTGATTGTATAACTACCTCTTTGATACCATCTTTTCAGCTTTAAAAACCTTTAGTGGTTTCCTGTTGTCTGTAGAGGAATGCCTCAAATACATGGATGGTATTCAGCAGCTTCCCACGTGGCCCTAGCCTTCCTTCCCAAACCATCTTCTGCCTTGACCACCCACTGGGTTGCAGCCCAAATAGGCCACATAGTTTTATTTTGCTCCCTTGGCTTGTTGTCTTCCTCTGTCTAGAATTCCTGCTGTAAGCCTCACCTCCTCGTCACCCCACAACCTGAAGAAACAGTTGTCTGTGGGAAACTCAAAGATTCCTCTTCTTTCTAGGCAGAATTTTTGGTTCCTGTTTATGCATCTCTTTTTAGCATTTATTATGATATCAAAGGTAATTCTATATGTCTTGCTCTCTTACTAGCTCATGAGTTCCTTCACAGCAGAGGCCATAGTTTATTCATCATTGTGATAACACTGATGAGTGTCACTAGAACTCAGTAGGCACTCAGCAAAAATTGTTGCAGTAATGTATTAATATTTGGTTTAATTTTATTTTGATTTCAGTGTGTTTTATTCTAGGTCCTTGGCCTTGTCCAAAACATGAGTGTTTTCCAGTGTCCAAAATGTAAACACAAAACTCATATTTTTGGTGCTGATGGTGCGAGGAAACTAGCACAGACCCTTGGTCTTGAAGTTCTAGGTAAGACTGTGGGATGTTCTTTTGCAGAAGAAGTGGCAGAAGGGAAAGTGGGGATGAGGCTTGAGGATTAAGAGTGTCTCAGAGGCCGGGCGCAGAGGCTCACGCCTGTAATCCCTGCACTTTGGGAGACCGAGGCGGGCGGATCACGAGGTCGGGAGATGGAGACCATCCTGGCTAACGCAGTGAAACCCCATCTCTACTAAAAATACAAAAAATTAGCTGGGCGTGGTGGCGGGCACCTGTAGTCCCAGCTAGTCGGGAGGCTGAGGCAGGAGAATGGTGTGAACCCAGGAGGCGGAGCTTGCAGTGAGCCGAGATCGTGCCACTGCACTCCAGCCTGGGCGACAGAGTGAGACTCTGTCTCAAAAAAAAAAAAAAGTGAGTGTCTCAGAAAATGATGATTTGCTTTTGGCTTTGTGTTTTAAATTAATATAGCATAGTTCTATATGTGTTACCCTTTCTTTGGCTTTTTTGAATAGGTTTGTTCTGGCAAGTATGATAATAATTTCTATTTTAAATAAAAATTGTTTATAATTTAAATTTGAGAAGAGAGTTTTGTGGTCTAAGTACTGTAGTTTGAAGCCATATTTTAAATGATGGTCACCAATGTGTTTGCTAAGTTGGTTGTACATCTCTCAGGATAAACAGGTATACATTAAAATATCTGTTCTGTATGTTGTAAAAACCTCTAGAAGTGTTCGTTCTTAGTACATATATAAAAATGCCTTCCTGATTAATTCTGTATTTGTTCATCTTTCTGCTTTAGAATGACAGTATTTACTGTTTTCTGTAATATTTAATGTGTTTGATATGTCTATAAAATATGGCACCTGAAATTTACATTGTACGCACCATTCATGGCACTGAACTGAAGAGTTCATTAGTGCTATGAGGAGAACTAAAATCATGTGTTAAATAAGCAAAACACAGGTTTTTGATAAAAGATGATGTTCCAAAAATCCACAGGCAACTTAACAGACTTTTTAGAAAACATGTTTTGATATTCTAATTGTGAATGAGTTTCTGTTCTTGCCAAAGGCAGATGTTAGATGCTGAATAAGGAAGGCATAGAGTGAATTATTAGACTTAGGTAGTTAAAAATTAAGATCCCTAGAGATCAAGGAATTTCAAAACATTCTCTGTTATAATTAAATTTCTGAAAGTCGATGTTAAATATATTATTGTTATGCATTTGCACTATAGCAGCCACTACAATACCAGGTGAATACTGATGATATATTTTGATACATTGCTATAATTATAGCCACTAATTATATTCTGCAACTGTTTTTCATTTAACCCAGAAAGTTCAGTTTTCCAAATCTGCATAACAGATTGACATTCACTTATATAATAAAGTAAATGTGTAATTATAATGGCATTATTGAATTATACTGACAACATTATAATTTCCTAACTTACAAATGAGCTGAACAGTTTCCTAAGTCAGTTATTTAGAATTTGAAACATTTCATTGAGAAACAATGGTATGTATGAAAGTTACATTTTAACCAACAGCTCACAAATGTACAATTACCCTAAAAATGTATCAGAAACACTGATTACTAATCACAAAAATTGGATGGTGCCCTAGACTGCTATGTCGGACAGTGTTAGGGAAAAATCATTTAGAGTTCCTCGTTAGGGCACATCCCCTCCTTTTAATGTATTCATGGGTCCCATGGTGTCTCCCATGAAATGGAGCAGGGCTTCAATTATGAAGAGGCTGGAGTTGGGAATGAGGAACTGAAATCAGGGAGAAAGCTTTCACAGCTATGGCCTCTTGGCCAGTTGAACCTCCTGGGAACCCTTATTTGTCCTTTACTGACTCCCTGGCAGACTCTTAATTCAGTGGGTTGTGTTTTAAATGATTATTTGGCACGATAGCTCTTCAGAACCTTATCTATATTTACCTACAGGGATAGTTTATGCATAGTAGTTAAGGTCTCAGACCATCTCACAGAAAACCCTTTAACCTATTATGTGTCTGAAATGTTCCCTCATTTCTTTCAGACTTGGCACCTCAAAGATACTTCTCAGGCTCAGACTGCTCCTCACTCACTTTCACTTTTTAAAAATCCCTGTCTAGATACAACCATTAGCCCGTTACCATTCTTACTACGCCACCTGTTTTTAACAAGACTTTTCCCCTTCTTGGTCTAATCTTCTGTGCCTGTAGGTAGGATTGTGAGTATCTGGAGAGCAGAAATGATGTCAATAGATGGCTATATAAAGGAGAAGGTTTTACTCTTTTACCTTCCATTTATGCAGTAGAAAAGAAATCATTCATGATTCTTTACTAGAATGACAGTTCATAAATTGAGAGGAAAAAATTTCATTTCTAAGCATTTTCTATAACATTTTTTTCTGCCTTCTCCTGTGACAGTTTCCTACAGTCCGAAGTTGATCTAGAGAATAGGAATCAAATTCAATGAAAAGCTAATCCTTAAATGTCTACTGAAATATCATGTATTTGTCATTTGGCCATTGGATATTGAGGAAAGACTTATAGTTTAAGATCACAACATTTGACAAGAGGAGCATGAAATAACATTTCCTTTTCCATGTACTTCATAGTATATATTGTAATATTTTTATAACTTACTTCTTTTGCATTATTTAAATTGCCTGACATGGTGCTAAATGACTTATTTGAATAAAACACCACATACACGTATGTTTTAATAACCTTTGCGTGGATTTGGAGTGGTTCTGAGAATGCTAAGTACCAAGGCAAGTCAACTTTTCCACTTAAGACCCCACTCACTGCACTTTAAATCTCAGTCTTGATAGACTTCGTTTGTGATGGTGTGCTGGAAAGAGTATATTGGATGAGGGGTCAGAATTCAGTTCAGCTCTTAAATTCCACTGCCTGATAGTAATATGTCCTCAAGAAAACACACCTCTCCCACCTCAGTCTGTATTTTGAAGGTTCTTGTCATATACTTGCTGAGATCTCACCAAGCTCACAGGTTATGTATGGTGCTACATAGGCTAGTAGATAATAAGAGAAAAATAATTCTGTCTGATAAAGAGACAGATAGTTGAGATAACAGGTCTGGCCTACTTTTGACCAGTTCTTTGAGCTCACTCCATTTGCCAGCATCAGGAAGGTTATTTTGTTGTATTTTTTTTGAACTACTTTGTCTCCTCATATTTTGCTCTTCAGTTTCCTCTTATTATGTGACATGATGTGTCTATAACAGATATTGATGGGAAAAATCATTTGTAAATGTCTTCCAAGCCATTGCTTGTTTGGAGACTTCTAGCAAAGAATAAATCAGAGGCCTCATCTCTTGATGGGGTGCCACAGAGCTTTTCTATATAAACAAATACAATCACTGTACTACTCTAAAGTAGAGTATTTTGTTTGTAATTCCCATTTGAAATTTCTTTTTCAGAGATTTAGCAATTAGAAGATAGTCAATTTGAATCAATTTAGTTCAGATTTTGTTTCTTTCCATAGTTCAAATAGTGAGATTCAAAATGCCTATATAAACTTTTCTGGTTCTAATGGATGTCTGCTGGGCTCTTTTAGGAGACATTCCCTTACACCTTAATATAAGGGAAGCTTCAGATACAGGCCAGCCAATTGTGTTTTCACAGCCTGAAAGTGATGAGGTAAGTTCCATTTTTGGATATATTTTTATTTCTTTTTATATACTTTTTGAAATATAGAAAGAAAGTTGGGAAGATTAAGCCTATATATTCGTAGTGCATATATATTTAAACAAGGATTATTTAACTTGTCCAAAGCATCTTTAAGATACTATTATGTACAGTAAGCTTCCAGTGCTGGCTCTAAATTACCAGCTGAACAAGTTTACCTACAGAGAATCATCACCCAACCAGTTTTCTCATGAAAAGCATGAACATTACAGTTTGTAAAATTCTTATATTGCTGGCTAGCAATATCTAACTGCCCAAGTTTATTATATTTCAGTATTAGAAGTTCAGCTGATTGGAGAAGGAAGCCTAATGCAAGAAAGTATTGAATTGGATATAAGGTAATGGTGTAAACAATTAGAGGTGGAATTTTTTTTCTTTCCTTTTTTTCCAGACAGGATTTTGCTCTGTCACCCAGGCTGGAGTACAGTTGTGCAATCCCAGCTCACTGCAGCCTTGACTTCCCATGCTCAAGCAATCTTCCCATCTCAGCCGCCCCCTCCCGAGTAGCTAGGACCACAGGTGCACAGCACCATGCCCTGCTAATTTTTTAAAATTTTTTGGTTTTTTTGTGGAGACAGGGTCTCACTATGTTGCCCAGGTTGGTCTGGAACTCCTGGACTCAAGTTATTCTCCCATCTTGGCCTCCCGAAGTCCTGAGATTATAGGCATGAGCCACCATGCCCAGCCTAGAGATGAAATTTTCATTGCATTTATTTTGATAAATATAACTGGGAAGGTGAGGTGAAAAGACTAGTAGTGTTTCATTAGCCAACATCATTGGAGATATAGTTGATAGATTTTCAAAATTACTGCTACATAAAATCTTTAAGCATATAATATTTTAATCTTTTTAAAAATAGAAATAAAATGAATCATACATATTTTTTCTTTCCTAAATAACACTTGCTATTTAACTTGGAAACTGATTCATCACCTGGTACATCGGTTTGGATGTTGTTCCTTTGTTGAACAGCCCCAATCAATCTTCTAATAGTTTTTCTTTTGTTTTTCTTTTCCTTAACTAATGGGTATAGCTTTATAGTACTGGTATTTTTTCTAAACATAACTACTGCTCTTTATATTCTAGTTTGCTTCCTTTAATCTTCTGTGAATTGGAAAATAAAAGAACCAAGTTTGGTTAGAGCTGTAAAGTAAGAGTAAATGAACAGGAATCTTGGATAAGTAGAGTATATTCATTTTGAGTGATCTGTTTCCTGCGTTTAGAGGTCCTTTCCTTTTCTTAAGGGTCAGCAGCTATGGTATAGTGATTGTTTTGCTGGCGATATGATCTCTGAGTAAATACAGTATAACAGTTACCATTGTTTTTCTCTTCTCTCCCTTTTAGGTATTAACTGTTAAATTTCCTTTTCAGTCTTTCTTAGCAATTTTTTAGATAAGCAAAAAACCATAATCCTTTATCATCTTTGTAATTAAAGTCTGCCAATCCCAACTACCATAGCTGTACTTTATGCAGTATTTGAAAAAGTTCTATGAAAATTGAGGGTTTTTTGTTTTAATTACACACTTTTAAATGCCTCCTGAGAACAGACTATTTAAAGACATTTCACAGTGATTCCTAGTGAATAAGAATAATTACTTGCCAGTGTATTTCAATTAAGAGTTTAGATTTTTATTATTTTTTTCACCTGTTCATTATTTTTTCTTTGAAATCCTCCAGTAGTAAGAAACATTTCATTGAAGTTAGAGGAATGTAATATAACAGAGAACATATAGCAACCATCCAAAGAGAATACAATTTAATACTCTAAATAGCTTTGTTAGATTCTCAAAGGAGATCTCTGCATGGAAGGAAAAGCACTAAATCTGAGTCATCATGGGTACCAAGTTTGCCACTTTCTATGTGTGACCTAAAGCAAGTTTTCTAACCTCTTTGAAGGTCCTCATAATGAGGAAGATGGGAAAGAATAAACGAAATAATAATGTGTACCTTGAAAAATGCCAAGTAGAATACAACTGAATCTTCTGAAACTGCCTGTATAAGATGTCATGACACTAAATGTCTCTCCTCTTCCCTTTGTTGAAGAGCTGAGTCCACTTAGTGTCCTTGACATGGTATCAAGTAAATATCACTCTTTGAGGTTATTTAAAAATCAAGGTAGGCCCGGCGCAGTGGCTCATCCCTGTAATCCCAGCACTTTGGGAGGCTGAGGTGGGCGGATCACGAGGTCAGGAGTTTGAGACCAGACTGGCCAACATGGTGAAACACTGTCTCTACTAAAAATACAAAAATTAACTGGACGTGGTGGCATGCACCTCTAATCCCAGCTACTTGGAAGGCTAAGGCAGGAAAATCACTTGAACCTGGGAGGCAGAGGTTGCAGTGAGCCGGGGTCATGCCATTGCACTCCAGCCTAGGCAAAAAGAGCAAAACTCCGTCAAAAAAAAAAATCAGGGTAGCAGAATTTGAATCATGAGAGAATTCCCAGCTTCAACATCAAAGACATTAACTCCTAGACACTAAGAAGCTGTGACTGAGGCCTAGGATCAGAATCCTCTGGTTAGTCTTATGATGAATCTTGCCTCCTAAAAGCCTCCTTCCCTTTCCCCCGTGAACTCAAATGGAAATGTGCTCTTAGAAACTAGTCACAACGCTCTCACCAGATTCTGTTGTATTCATAGAACCTTAACAACTATTCTGCCTGCATGTCTTCATTTAAAGAATGAAGGAAGTGTTTGTTTGCCAACATGGTAAAACTTCTGCAGAAGTTAATGGGGCAAAACCTATAATCTTGTTAGTTATTCACTTTAGACTGATACTTTTTTTTTTTTTTTTGGAGACAGGATCTTGTTCTATCACCCAGGTTGGAGTGCAGTGGTGCAATCTTGGCTCACTGTAGCCTCTCCTTTTAGGCTCAAGCAATCCTCCCACCTCATCCTCCCAAGTAGCTGGGAACTACAGGTGCACACCACCATGTCCAGCTAATTCTTTGCGTTTTTGGTAGAGATGGGGTTTCACCATGTTGCCCAGGCTGGTGTCAAACTCCTGAGCTCAGGAGATTCACCTGCCTTGGCCTCCCAAAGTGCTGGGATTACAGACATGAGCCACCACACCCAGCCTAGACTGATACTTTTTATTGTTTACTTTTAGGGGTTGACCCATAGGCACAATTATAAATCGGTAAATGTTTAATCGTTAGCTTTTCATCTTCCTTCTTACTCCACCTTCTCCATTTTCTATTACTCCCTCCTCACAACACCAGGTGTTAGGGCTCTTATTCTCTGCCCACAAAATCCTTTAGAATTACACATTGAGGATTTAACTCTCCCAGTAACATTTAACTTTCAGAAGAGGCAAACACTAAAAATGTAGTGATTAATTTAAAGATATGAATTGTGGTGAATTTAAGACATCATTGGAAATGTTGGAAGAGCTCATAGTACCAATTAAAAAGTAGTAATAGTCTGCTGCTTGCTCAATGGGCAAAACCTTCTGCACCGGTACACCATTTAGGAACGGCAAGTAAGACTCCAAATGTAAGTAGTGTAAAGTAGCCAGAGAAAACAGTAGAGGAGGGGTGAGAAGGTGATATTTAGAATTCAGAACCCCTAAATTCAATAGCATCCCCGCATGCTGGTATGATTAATATTGTTGATGCAATTAAAACTGCCTTCTGCTCTTTATTAAGACCAGAATACAAGGAATGGACCTGTGATTAACTGACAGCATTGTGGTTTTATCCTTTTTATCAAGTAAGAATATTAGCTACAGAAAGATGTGCTATAACATATTCCTGGTAAAGACTTTCAAATATTAGTGGGAACTTTATTTTCTTATAATTTCTAAATTATTACCTCACAATCTTAATATGAAATGACTGTGTATGATAAGTTAGGACTTCAAATATTTAAAAACAAAGACAAAGGAAAAAACCTTTGTGCACTTTGGTTACCATTCATTCCCTGTTGCTAGTTAATGGCATAGCAGACAATAGGGTCCAACTGTATTATCTGTGCCTCTAGATGACCTAACAAAAAGATCTTGAATAGGAGAAAAGGGTTAGTCTGTGTAGAGTTGATGAAAGAAGAGAGTATTAATAGTTTGAGTTACCTCAGTTGTATCCTTTGTATATGATATGTGTGTGTGTGATTTTTTTTGCTAGTTATGGATTAAACAAAAGAAAGGGGTTTAATTATTCCTCAGGTGGGAACAGTGCCCAAAGGACATGTTCATATGAGCTCTTCAATGAGATTGTAAATTTCTTGAGAGTATAATGATAATAATAGCAGCTACAAATGTTTATTATATGCTTCCTCTGTGCCAACAATTCACATGCCGTATTCTCACTTAATACTCCCAAAATGCTTTGAGCTAGATATAATTATTATAAGCAGTTTACAGATATGGAAACTGAGCCTAGAAGGGTTAAGTAACTTGCCCAAAACCTTACAGCTTATAAGTAATAAAGCCAAGATTCTAAACCATGGCTGTCTGACTTCAAGGCCCCAACTCTTCACCAGTGAACTGTTCTGCCTCTCTTTTATATCATTACATACCACAGATTTCCCAACATGATGCCTTGTATGCAATACGAACCAAAATGTATTACTTGAAATAATACTGCACTGGCTGAAAAATCTAGCCTCAACAGTTTTTGAGAAATTCAAACTGTTAAACTAAGCACTTTTAGTGGTTTCTCAGCAACTGACAATCTATTACTTAGGATGTGATATATTAGAAATCTAAGTTTGGAGATAGTCCATTAAAAAGGAAAGATTAAATGTAGCCAATTTGATTATTCTGGAATCATTCAGTATTTTTGTGTTCTGATAGGTTTATGTCTTTAATTTAATGTAGATAAACACTAAAAGATTACAGAATGATGGCCTTGTATCATCTTGCTTTAGTTAACTTTAAATTTTCATCACAAAATATTAGGCATAAGTACCTAGAAAAGCTACTAGGAGATAAAAGGTATTTATAAAGATGTATGAGTGAAAATCAGCACATTTGATTTGAGAGAAACCTTTCTTTATAAGTAGATGTTATTTACATTTATAATCAAGAACTTGTTTCTATTAACTACAGCAGATAAGAAACCATTTTTAGACTATGTTTTATGATTATAATTACTTACATTTGAGTTTACTGTTTAACATGTGGTATAGTGGAAAAAGCTGGACTTTAGAGTCAGTTGGACCCAGGTTTGAAGGTTTTCCAGCCTGACTTCATGACCTTGAGCAAACAACAACTGGTTTCATCATCCAAGTTGAGCTGATGGTGCTTGTTTTACATGTCTAAGTGAGATTATTTACATGAAGTATTTGGTATAGTAGGTACTCAACAAAAACATTTAAAGCCTTATTCATGTTTTTAGATTTTTTTTTTAAAGGACTCTCTTAAATGACTTTTAATACTTTTCTGGTAAAATAAATCATGATTTAGCTATTAGGGCTCAAGTGTAGTCTTTAAAAATGAAGACATGTGAAAGACTCTTAAAGCACTTCATCGAGTCAGGGCCAATAGACCACAAACATCTCTTTTTACTGTGCAGAGTCTGAGAACTGGTCAGCTTAGGTTCAAAGCCCAGCTCATCTCCTACTAGCTATTATGTTTTCGACAAAATTGTTTACCTTTCTGGATGTTTCCTTATCTGTACAGTCGGGATAATGATAGAATTTACCCCCAGAGTAACTGTGAAGATAAATAACACTTGGCAAATATTAAGTACTAGTAAGTCTTAGCTACTATCTTTAGTAGTTGTATATAAATATATAACTGTGAGTATATTATTTTATTAGTTTGTTTTCACACTGCTGATAAAGACTGGGCAGTTTACAAAAGAAAGAGGTTTATTGGACTTACAGTTCCATGTGACAAGGGAGTTCTCGCAATCATGGAGGAAGGTAAATGGCAAGGAGGAACAAGTCGTGTCTTACATGGATAGCAGCAGGCAAAAAGAGAGCTCGTGCAGGTAGACTCCCATTTTTAAGCTATCAGATCTCATGAGATTCACTATTATGAGAACAGCATGGGAAAGACCCACCCCATGATTCAATCACCTCCCACCGGGTTCTTCCCATGACATATGGGAAACAATTCAAGATGAGATTTGGGTGGGGACACAGCCAAACCATATCATTCCACCCCAGCCCCTCCCAAATCACATGTCCTCACATTTCAAACCCAATCATGCCTTCCCAACAGTCCCTGAAAGTCTTAACTCATTTCAGCATTAACTCAAATGTCCACAGTTCAAAGTCTTATCTGAGGCAAGGCAAGTCCCTTCCGCCTATGAGCCTGTAAAATCAAAAGCAAGTTAGTTACTTCCTAGATACAGTGGGGTACAGGCATTGGATAAATACAGCTGTTCTAAATGGGAGAAATTGGCCAAAACAAAGGGGCTACAGGCCCCATGCAAGTCTGAAATCTGGTGGGGCAGTCAAATCTTAAAGCTCCAAAATTATCTCCTTTGACCCCATGTCTTACATCTAGGTCACGCTGATGCAAGAGGTAGGTTCCCATAGTCTTGGGCAGCTTTGCCCCTGTAGCTTTGCGGGGTATAGCCTCCTTCCTGGCTGCCTTCATGGGCTGGCGTTGAGTTTCTGCAGCTTTTTCAGGGACAGGGTGCAAGTTGTCAGTGGATCTACCATTGTGGGGTCTGGAGGATGGTGACTGTCTTCTCACAGCTCCACTAGGTGGTGCCCCAATAGGGACTCTGTGTGGGGGCTCTGACCCCACATTTCTCTTCTGCACTACCCTAGCAGAGGTTCTTCATAAGGACCTCACCCCTACAGCAAACTTCTTCCTGGGCATCGAGGTATTTCCATACATCTGAAATCTAGGTGGAGGTTCCCAAACCTCAATTCTTGATTTCTGTGCACCCACAGGCCCGACACCATGTGGAAGCTGCCAAGGCTTGAGGCTTCCACCCTCTGAAGCCACCGCCTGAGCTCTTTGTTGGCCCCTTTCCGCCATGGCTGGAGCATTTGAGAAGCAGGACCCCAAGTCCCTAGTCTGCACACAACACAGGGACCCTGGACCCCAGCCCACAAAAATTAAATTTTCCTCCTAGGCCTCCAGATCTGTGATGGGAGAGGCTGCCATGAAGACCTGTGACATGCCCTGGAGACATTTTCCCCATTGTCTTGGGGATTAACATTTGGCTCCTCGTTACTTATGCAAATTTCTGCAGCAGGCTTGAATTTCTCCTCAGGAAATGGGATTTTCTATCCCTATCACAGTGTCAGGCTACAAATTTTCTGAATCTTTATGCTCTGCTTCCCTTATAAAACTGAATGCCTTTAACAGCACCCAAGTCACCTCCTGAATGCTTTGCTGCTCAGAAATTTCTTCTGCCAGATACCCTAAATCATCTCTCAAATTCAAAGTTCCACAAATCTCTAGGGCAGGGACAAAATGCCACCAGTCTCTTTGATAAAACATAACAAGAGTCACCTTTGCTGCAGTTCCCAACAACTTCCTCATCTCCATCTGAGACCATCTCAGCCTGGACCTTATTGTTCATATCACTAACAGCATTTTTGTCAAAGCCACTCAAGTCTCTAGGAAGTTCCAAACTTTCCCATATTTTCCTGTCTTCTTCTGAGCCCTCCAAACTGTTCCAGCCGCTGCCTGTTACCCAGTTCCAAAGTCACTTCCACATTTTCAGGTATCTTTTCAGCAATGCCACACTCTACTGGTACCAATTTACTGTGAATAGTTTGTTTTCACACTGCTGATTAAAGACATACCAGAGACTGAGCAGTTTACAAAAGAAAGAGGTTTATTGGACTTACAATTCCATGTGGCTAGGGAGGCCTCATAATCATGGAGGAAGGTGAAAGGCAAGGAGGAACAAGTCACGTCTTACATGGATGATGGCAGGCAAAAAGCTTGTGGAGAGAGACTCCTGTTTTTAAAGCTATCAGATCTCGTGAGACTTGTTATCACAAGGCCAGCATGGGAAAGACCTACCCCCATGATTCAATCACCTCCCACCAGGTTCCTTCCACAACACATGGGAATTGTGGGAGTTACAATTCAAGATGAGATTTGGGTGGGGACATAGCCAAACCATGTCAGTTATCAATGTAGAAATTAAGGGGTTTAGAAAATTTTACTATTGTGTTCTACAGTTACCTTTTATGAATAAGGTATAAGATATAAATAATTTTGCATTACATTTATTTAATAGAACTCTTAAAATGCAAGTATCATTACCATGCAGGCATTAGGTTAGCTTGTGGCCCACTCCGTGGCTTAAGAGCTGCTCTTAGTGTCCCATGACACTGGGATCCCAGACATAAAGAGTGTAACAATGGAACCAGGATTTTTGGCATGATATCCAAAATTTACCAGGTGAAAGAGCCTATAGGTGCTTGGTGCTGAGGTTGCACACCATTCTCGGGGAGATGAAGAAAACGCTTTCCTAAGATAAACTGCAGCATGGTAATAAATAGTCCTCCTTAAAATGACTAACAGCTCTTATGCTAAAGAAGTTTTGGCAGTCTCTAACTCAAGATATCAATTTTTCAGAGCAAAAAGGTGTAATTTCTCTACAACTGGACTGGGTTGCTAGTTTGCTGATACCAGAATTAGAATTTTAAAAACAGTAATTTCTGGTACTGCATATTATTTCAGAGAGTCACCTTCCAAATAATTACCCTCCAAATAATCTAAAAGTCTTTCTTCCTTATGCCATCTGCAATGTATACAGCATTATCTTCTCAGTACTGAATTTCCTCATCTCAGCCTTTTTACTATCAAATACAGTGGGCCTCTATGACAAACAGTTGATGAGTCATCTCAACTGTTGAAGAGTTGATGAGTCACACTCTATCAGTGTCTGCTGAAGAGAAATACAGAACAAATAAGTTTGTTCTTTTCCAGGCCAAAGCTTACTTGAGGATTGCTGTGGAAGTGGTAAGAAGATTGCCATCACCTTCAGAATGATTCCCCAAGTGTCCTGGAAATTTGCCTGGTACTGACATTAAGAGGACCTTTGGAAATCAGCAATGTGGTGATGGAACCTACAGAAATAATAGAAATCATAACGATTTTATTTCTAAGGAAATAATGACTTCAGATCTGATTTGCTAAGCTAAGATTCACAAAACTTTGATGTATCAATGTTAACTACTATATTTAGGAATTTTTTGAAAGCTGGTGTATACCACCTGCAAAGAACTGCATTTTATTTTATTGAATTGCCCCTTTGGGAATCATGAGTTTATGATGTTACAAGTCCATTTTGGGAGAGAACTGTACACTTTTTACAGGACCACAGAGTTAGTAGTTTAAATGATATACTAAATTTGTGTATGAGCATAAGTATTACACCTCCCCACCAGGCAATTTGGACTGTCTTTGAATCCTGTCTTTAGTACTATCTTGGATATGTTCTTAATATGAACCTCTGCTTCTTCATCTGGATCACACCGTACCCCACACTTAATGAATCTCAGTCTCTAGGAGTGGAGCCTGAACATATGTGTTTTTAATAAGACCATTATGATGTTGATGATGATTCTGATAATGATAGCAGTAATAGTAATAGCTAACATTTAACAAGTTAATTATAATTATTCTTCCATTTGTGTGAGTGGGTACTATTATCTCCATTTTACAGATAAGTAATTTGAGATATAATTTGAAGACACTCAACCTTGAGTGTCTTGCTGAGGGTTACTGTATCTAGCAAGTGATGGAGCTTGGATTTGAACTTGAGTAATTCAATATTAGGTTCATCCTTTTGTACACCAATGTGCTTTTGTTAAATAAAAATAGGGGGGTGGGCAGCTGGACACAGTGGCTCACACCTATAATCCCAGCACTTTGGGAGGTTTAGGCGGGTGGATCATGAAGTCAGGAGTTTGAGACCAGCCTGACTGACATGGTGAAACCCCATCTCTACTAAAAATAAAGATTAGCTGGGTGTGGTGGCATACACCTGTAATCCCAGCTACTCTGGAGGCTGAGTCAGGAGAATCACTTCAACCTGGGAGGCAGAGGTTGCAGTGAGCAGAGATTGTGCCACTGCAATCCAGCCTGGTCGATGAAGTGAGACTCCACCTCAAAAAAAAAAATAAATAAATAAATGAATAAAATTTTTAAAAAGTGGGGGGAGATGCAATATTTAGCATTTCCTCAAACTTTTTTTGGCCATGAAATCCACTCCCTGCCTTTTTAAGAGCATTTCGTGGAGTTCACATTTCAAATAATACATTTTAAAAAACATTTATCTTGTCTAATTGAAGCTCAAAGAGATAGAGTCAATGACTTTTCAAAGTCGGGTAGCAGACAGTTTTAAAGCTGAAAGTACTGATAAGAGTGAGCCATTAGATAATTGGCATTTATAAAGAAGTGGTCTGTCACTTTTGGCAAATGCCTTGACATCGTTGCTCTATAGTTATCAACCAGAAAATTAAGCGTAGAGTTTCACACTATTATAAGCATGTTTTCACACAAAAACATATAGATTGATGTTTATTGCAACTTTATGTGTAATAACCAAAAACAACCCAGATTTTCTTCATTGGATGAATGGTTAAACAAGCTGTGGTACATTCATACCATGAATACTACTCAGCAATAAAAAAGAACAAACTATGGGTACATGCAGCAACTTATAATTCCAGAGAATTATACTGAATGAAAAAAGTCAATTTAAAAAGGTTTCATACCAAAAGATTCAATTTATATAACATTCTTGAAGTGACATAATATTATAGAAATGGAGAACAGATTAGTGGTGGCTATGTTAAGGAGGGGGTGAGGATGGGAGAGGATTGGGTGTGGCTGTGAGAAACATGAGGGATCCTTGTAATGATGGAAATGTTCTGTATCACAACTATCAATGTCAATATCTCAGTTGTGATATTGTGCTATAGTCTTGCAAGATGTTACCACTGGGGGAAACTGGGTGAAGGGCACATGGAATCTCTGTATTACTTCTTTCAACTGCATGTAAATCTACAATTATCTCAAAATAAAAATAAAAGTTAAAAAACACAGACTGCTATATCTGAACTGAAATTTACTGGACCAAATTATACTAATTAATATCATGAATAAAATTATCTGTGGACACACTGTCATCATATCACTCTGAGAGGGAAGTAATGACTTAAAATTTCAGATATTTATTTGTGTGTTTATTGTTTATTGAAGAAGAGGAAAATACAGATGATCATTGAGCACTTCTGAATACAAAAATACTTAAACCAAACTTAACTTTATCCAGAAAAAGAATGACTTAAAGTTATATGTCATCATTTAATATGTATCATGGGGAAATGAGAAAGATAGTCTTTACCCATGCATACATGACCGAGAGAAGATCCACGTATGAAATTCCCTGCCCTCTTCTCCTCCTCTTCTCATTTGACTGTTGTCTGCAGATGCTTCAAGGAAGTCTACTGAAACAAATGGTGGTTGGAGTATATATGGAGGTTTAGACAGGGAGGAAGGAACAGTAGCTATAAAAGAAGAACTAAGCTTATTCTAAAATTTTGTTGCCAACTCCAAAGGTAGAGTGAAGTACAGATAGTTTGCCTGTTTGTTAAGGAGTGATACTTATTTTCCATTCTTCACATCTCAATAGAGTGTAATTAAAAGACTTGACATTTTAAAAAGATGAACAAAATTGACAAACCTTTAGCCAGGCTCATTAAGAGAGAAAGATTACATAAATCAACAAATCAGGAATGAAAAGGAGACATCATTACAGACATGAAAAGGACAATAAGAATGATTACAAACAACTTTATGCCCATAAAATTGAAGACTTAGATGAAATAGACAAATGCTTTGAAAGAAACTACCAAAGTTCACTTAAGGAATAGATAACCTCAGTAGTCATAAATTACTTTTAAAAATATAATTTGTGAAGATGGCCGAATAGGAAGAGCTCCAGTCTCCAACTCCCAGCGCGAGCGACACAGAAGACCGGTGATTTCTGCATTTTCAACTGAGGTACTGGGTTCAT